TTAGAGTAATTTTTATATCAAAATCAGAAATTGGTTCCAAAATATTCACATTTTTACCGGAAGTGCAGGGACCCCCGTTTTCGTTGGGATCATGTTGGCTTGTACGAAAATTTTAGTACTTTACACTAATGTGAATTTTATTTAGAGTAATTTTTATTTCAAAATCAGAAATTGGTTCCAAAATTTTCACATTTTTACCAGAAGTGCAGGGACCCCCGTTTTCGTTGGGATCATGCTGGCTTGTACGAAAATTTTAGTACTTTACACTACTGTGAATTGTACTTAGAGTAATTTTTATATCAAAATCAGAAATTGGTTCCAAAATATTCACATTTTTACCGGAAGTGCAGGGACCCCCGTTTTCGTTGGGATCATGTTGGCTTGTACGAAAATTTTAGTACTTTACACTAATGTGAATTTTATTTAGAGTAATTTTTATTTCAAAATCAGAAATTGGTTCCAAAATTTTCACATTTTTACCAGAAGTGCAGGGACCCCCGTTTTCGTTGGGATCATGCTGGCTTGTACGAAAATTTTAGTACTTTACACTACTGTGAATTTTATTTAGAGTAATTTTTATATCAAAATCAGAAATTGGTTCCAAAATATTCACATTTTTACGGCAAAATCTCTTCCGTTGTATGGTCCGCGAATGATAAGTTTAAAAACGTACCTGTAACGCTGTTGGATCAACACATTCGATACACTTTTGTACAACGTGGTTTCCATTCTGATCCTTGACGCATTTCAAGACGTGGCCGTCCAATTCCTTCACGATTTCCTGCTGCTGATCGGGCGGGATCGACTCGAGAGCTTTCTGTATCACGCGACATCCATACATCTGCAATGCGAGCGGCAGCACGTGGCCTCTGACTTTCTGTGCCAACGTCGTCTTCTGTTCCACAGTACCGAACTCGAAAAATTTCTGAATCACGTAGTTGCCAAAAACGTCGGTCATTAAGTTGTAAGCCGCCGAAAGGATCTCGTTGAAGACCATCTGCTTCTCAGCCGCCGTGGCCCGTTCCAACTTCTGCTGTATGAAGCGAGAACCGTGTTGGTCTTGAGAGAACTCGACTATATGATTTGCCAGATCTCTAAAGTAAAAAATACAAACAAATAAAGAATGTCCAAAAATATGATCAGAAGCAAACAGAAGACATGACGGTAACCCTTAATATACGCATTTAGAACCCACACAGGTGACACCGAAAAATAGATCATTTCCCAGTATCCATTCAGACCCACTTGAGTAACCCTAACACTAACCTTAGCTGCAAATTGGGGAAACGATTGTTTCTAAAGTCTTCGAGCAGTCTCGACCGTCCCTGTGGTCCCTTGTCTAACGAACTGCTCACCGCCGTCAGCGAAGAATTCATCTTGGTGAAGAGCGAGTTCGTCGAGCCGAACATGGCATTCGCGGTGAGTCCTGTTGCGATCGAGTTCCTGTATTTGGCCTCGGCACCCGGAGCCGCCGAGAGTACTCGCGAGTTCACGAGACCGCCCAGCTGAAGGGGTGCGGTGGGTGGAGGCGTTAGACTGCCCGTCAGGGGACTGGGACTGCTGCCTAAACCGTAGGACGCCGGCCATTTCGGTCGGTAATCAAGGGACGGCGAAAATGCCGATGTGTTCCGATCGAACGAGTCGCGACGACCCGTTGTCGAAGTATTCAGTCCCAAACCTAAACAAATAAAATACAAAAACTTAAAATTGAAGCAATAAATAAATAAATAAAATAAAAAGGAAATTGTTCACCTAAAACTTTAAGAATAGTAAGACTGCAAAAACCAGAGAAATGTGAATTATACGAAAAAATGAACGATATGAAAAAGATAAGGTCAAATAATTTAACAACAAATTGTCTCTCCCCTACTGTTTCTCAGAAAAAAAAAACAAAATAAAAAACGTTGCGGGTGCTCATTACTTCTGCCTCGGTTAATTAAATTATGAAGAACGAATATCGGGATAATTAACTCACAGGCAATGCAATTACTCTAATTTGACGGCTGGCGTGATCGATGATCTAATAGGCTGAAGAATGAAAGTTGTAAGAAGCGTTTGATCGTGGGACACGGCCAAAGATGATATCACCTACCGCGTAATACATATTCAAGGACATCGAAGGCCGTCAAACTCTCGGATGCTTCTCCTTATTTTTAACTCATACTATTTATTAAATGATCGAGTATCGTAATTAAACCGAGAAGGAAAAAAGAAAATAAATATAAACGGTCGAGTTCGAGTACTACTACGGATGTATCTATACTTTTCTCTTGTTTTCGTACGAATTTGACCGCACTGCAAACAGAATCTTTCAACACTCTCCATTCATCATTTTACTTTCGACGAAACAAAGGAAACAATTCACACGTAATGTGTGTAACATATGTATTTCGTTTTTATCATGAAAATATTCCCCAAGTTATAAGTTTATAATTGCATATTGCAAAAATTACGAAAGCGTACAACAGTCCAACAGTTTTTTTGAAATTTCGACTTGTAATTAGGAAAATTTTGACATGCAACCCCAAATTTCGAATTGTAACTCGAAATTTATATCATGAAAATATTCCCCAAGTTATAATAATTGAATATTGCAAAAATTACGAAAGCGTATAGAACGGTCCAACAGTTTTTTTGAAATTTCGACTTATAATTAGGAAAATTTTGACATGCAACCCCAAATTTCGAATTGTAACTCGAAATTTATATCATGAAAATATTCCCCAAGTTATAATAATTGAATATTGCANTAAATAAAAAACAATAATAATAATCGTTAGTATCATATTATTACAGGGTCTTTTTTTTACAAAGGTATTGTACATTTCGTAACCGGAACTTAAGGAATTTACACTTTACATATTTGATTTAGTAGTAAGTAGTTTTTTTACATCAGTCTCGGCTAGAACGCCCGTTTAATTTGGCCCTCTTCGAGCCAGTGCCACCCAAATACTGCCCTCCTCATCTCCCCAGCCCGTCTCTATCAGTAATTATATTATAATAGATTATTCTCGTATCGTATCCTACTAATTTACTTACAGAAAAACAAAAAAAAATCCTTTCAAAATTATCAAGTCGTCTCTCATCCTAAAAGGGTTATACAAAACTAAAAATACTGACATTAATCTCTCCTGATGCAAAATCTGAAAAGCATTAATTTTGATATATTAAAAGTAAGTTCCATTCTTCAAAGTCTTTTTTTAACCTTTCTAAAAGCACAACTTCGAAAAAATCCGATAATTCCCCGGACTGTTTACCAGAAGAATTTCGGCACACTAGACTGAATACCCTTTGGTGGCTCCTCTTTTACCTGTCTACACATTTAGTACTCCAATCCTAACAATTTTCAAATAGCCTATCCTTTTATGTACAATTTAATGTATTTATCATGACACCAACAATTTACTAATTGCGAAAACTTAGTAGTAGTAGAAATTCTGAATTTCTCAATAATTCTTTTTTGCATCTAACCAATCATTTGATTTGTAGCACGCCTTTTTTGTTCTAACTTTTATCTATTTACATCACGGCAAATGTTTAAAAAAAAAAAGGAATCATTTTCAATTGTCGCCCTTTTTCAATACATAAGTGCCTAAGTTAAGTAAAAAGTTGAACGGAAGCAACATAAGACAAATGATAAATGAAACAAAAACAATCAACCATATCTAAAAAAAAGCGTTTCAAAAATACTGAAAAGGATCACGAATGACGACATAACTGATTAGTTATATTACAAATTAAAACTAAATAAAATAATAATTTATGATTCCTTTAGGTGATAAAAACTTTACCTTATTCAACAATCGTTACATATGCACGTAGTATAAAAGAATGTACATAGAGCAGCGCAATACTCGAAAATCCCATCCATATTAATTACTACACGGTAGAAATTTACACTGTTCAAAAATTATGGACAAATTTACAAAAAAGGTACAAATTTACATTCGAAAAGTGTCTCTCGTATTTTGATACTAATTAATATTTACAAATATGCGCACTGGTGACGTAACGTCAAGATATAGACAAAATAATAGAAAGGCGAGGGAGATAGTCAGACAGCAGTTGGGGGAGCAACGATGGCCGCAGTTAGTAATCCTCGGAAAGCGCGTGTGTATGTGTCCGTATGTGTAATACACAACAATACCATTGGCAGGCTATTGTAGTGGTTGGCGACGGCTGTTATTATTTTTTTTTAACATTTTTCATATTGAGAATCATATTACATATTATTAACTGTATATCGATCGAAACGAAACTATATTACATATAATACAGAAAATGATTCGTTAAAAAATGACAAAAAACAGATGAAACGAATTTATCGTAAACAAAAAAAGGAATATGACAACAAAAAACAGATGGAACACGAATAAAAGGTGGATTTGTTTTTTTTTCTTTTGTTATAATTAACCATAACACATATGTATCTATGTACATGTACACGTACCGAACAACACCGTCTCGTACATATTGGGAGGGGGGTCGTGATTCTTACCTGCCACAACTGTAATTTTTTTCAAATAAAAAGTATGTATAGATTTTATAATCGGATTGTGAAAAGAAAAACACCCTCTACGCGGTCCTTATTGAGACAATTTTTGAAATTCTTTTTTACTCCTAGCGACTTTCGAAACAATAAAAAAACGTATTCCACAAGTTTCAAGCTTATATCATAATACTAAATCGTACTAACTTGTAATGTAACTTTTCTGTCTGAATAAGATAAGGTTTTCGACATTGAATGGTCAATTTTTTATTTCGGCCAATGACTATTAAAAAAATTTGAACTTGACAGACTTTAACACTATCATAATAGTAACTTTACTATTCTTATAAATTTTAGCTGTTACATTTTTAGAGCTAGATGGATTATTTTCATTTTCTTCCAAAATTTCTCATTATTTGTCTTTGCAATAAAATACAAAACGTAAAATTGATGGCCATTATTTTTTACCGTAGACGTTTAATTATTGTAATCTAATGATGATAATATACGATCTGGAAATAAATTATTATTAATTAAACAAATTTTATAAAAGTTAAAAGATTTTTTTTTTCATCTTCGGTTGAACCCAGAAATTATAATAGCTAAAAATCTGTAAAGCTTCTTAGGAATATCAGCAAGTATCGCCTTTTTTAAACAATTATTTTAGTGAGAATAAAGTCATTTGAATAGGAAACATTCATTTGAATGTTGCACGTTGCAGGGATCAATTGCAAATAGAGATTTATTCGGAGCCCCTGCGAGAACAGAAATTCAAAAATTATCAAAATAAAGACCATGTTTTTTTTTCATGCGTAAATATTAAATCAAAAAAACTATGGCAGATTAAGGGGTTCACGATTACAGAAAATTACAAAATACCAAATATACACCTCAAGATCGTCGTTATCGCGATCTTTAAAGACTTCTGATAAATGCGAGGAGAATAATCGAATGGATCAAAAAACACGTTTAACACGTTATTAATTATGAGACAAACTGGAATAATTCACGAAGAACTGTACAATAATTATACAATGTGTATGCAATGTAAATGTATGCAATGCAGAATAAGATAAGTGTTATCAATTCGTAAATCTCTACAGTCCAATATAATCATTATTATTATTTATTTACCTTTTTTTAATTATTAGGTATTAATTGTAGGTAAGTATTATGTACTTGACGAGAGAACGAATCTATAAACTAGTAGAAGTGTTTAAATAATTGTGTTACTATTACTTTCATAACTGATTTTTTATTTTATTTTTTACTAATAGGGGGTCGATTAAAGTTCTTTTTTTTTTTCTAAACCCTTAAAACTCGATTATAAGTAGGAAACGTTTTGCGCTTTAACTGGACCTTACACGTTAATAAAAAATAATAGTCACGAAAAACGCACAATTTAATCCAATAAACCGAATTCAATTTTTTTTTCTGTAATTAATCAAGTTCATTCAAAGCGCACCAATTATACTAAACCTACATTAATTAATTTGAATGTTCGAAAAGTGTAATAGAATAATTTTCGGACTCGTGCACAAAAATTTAATGGGAAGAGGGTGAAATTGTTATCGAAAAAGCCAAACTGCTTCTTCGTAAAGCACTTGTTGCAAAACAGAAACAAATAAACATTGCATCGTTTTACCTGTTTTTTTTTTAATGTTTTTCGAAACACGAAAATTTTTAATTAAATTTTAGCACATTAAATGTTGAATAACACGCGAATGATGACAGACAGGACATGAACGAACAACGTGGTAGCAAATGCGATGGGATGGTCGTGGTGACTGATTTTTTATTTATTTATTTATTTATTTTTTACTTTTATCTTCTTATTTCTGATGGCTGGTTGATAATAATGACTCTAGAAATACATGTTCCTGAGGATCGTATCACATTTTTTAATGTAACTTCTTATGCCCAGTTCTGTACCGCAAAAGTTATGCCATCTCTTTTCGAACAAAAACAAAGTAATCTTCCTTGTACTGTTTGTTATTCTTGTAAGACTGTATGTATATTTGACATTAACATTCAAATCGAAAATGATAAATGACAAAAGGTTAATTTTTATTAGTGACCATCTCGCACATTGCGGCACAAAACTTTGCACGCCACTGTAAAAACTGAGAAAAACGAAAAACAAAATTATGCCCTCTTCATGATACAGCGCAGCACAATAATTATTTCATTAGACAACAAAGAACCAACCATGTGTGCAACGTTTATCGTTTTCTTTTGATTTTTGTCTTTATTTTATTTTGTTTTGTTTCTGTCTGCCCGTTCGCATTGTGGGCCGCGGGCCACCACCTCTTCACCTCCTCCTAACGCCGTAACAATGCGTAAACTTCAGTCGTCATTCTTTCTTACTTGTTTTCATTCCTACCTATGTATAATGTTACAAGTCGCACAAAATTCGATCCCAACAAACACGACCGTACTACTATCATCGATTATTTTAATTCGGAAAAAGATTCACAGGCCGCTATCTATCGCATATATGTAAATTTGTATATTACATTACTTTATCGATAAACTTCCTAGGTACATCGTTCGAAAAAGGAAATTAATTCGAACAGAAAAAAGTAGCTTTAAAAGCGACCGGCCCTGTGTGTGACAATGTGGTGTGTGTGTGTGTGTTTGTATGTGTATATGACAGTGTTTTTGCGTGTCTGTGTATTGTGCTAGTCTTCCATAAACGCATGCACATATGTATATACCCCTAATAACCTACGATAGATATTAGAGCTACGAAATACGCCTTTGCGTATGTGTGTGTGTGTAAATGTGGAGTGAGGAAAGGGATTAACATTATGATTACTTAAACGAAACCGAAGCTAATTATATTAACGATAATAATACACATTTATATTCATAACTCGACGAAACACGACAATACGAAAACGAAATACTGAATGTTTCGTGTGATAAAGGATTATGTACCAACTAAAAAATAACGGGAAAAGACACTCACACACAACATACAAAATAATATTATTATTGATTGGTCGAAACGTGATAAAAAAAACTATATTTAAATCATGAACTAACATAATAACATAATAATAATAA